GAAAATACTAGCACCACAATTTATTAAACAAGGTCCCCAGCTTTCAGGTTAGCAATTTTCATCTGCATCCCAAAATCTAGGAAAGTTAGTTGTAGGGATTTCACTAAGGAAACTGCGGTGAAAGTTGTCAAATACTACATAAAAGTCGGGGATCTCATTCCATACATTTTCCATGTACGGAACTCATTCCCTCAACCACAAAACTTTGCGGCTTACTCGCTCTGTGCTTCTTCTTACGATCCAAGAGCTATTTTCACTCCCGCACTGGGTAACTATGATGGGGAGTTCAATTTATCTTGGTCCATGTGTTCCCACATGGATCATACTCCCATTGTAGTAAAGTATTACTATAGTTTTAGTTCCTACATGCCCTCAAGGCCTTTTAAGGGCCACATTCCCCATTACTAGTTACCTAACTCCACTCTTCTGGGATGAGTATGGACTGTAGATTCTAGGTATAAGTGTCCAATACTGTACGCATAATGAGAATATGATTGGTCCTCATAGGAAATATCACAATGTCCTTAGTTTCTTGGCAATATCGTGAAATTCCTTTAATGCTTTGAGATTCATCAAATTCTGTTTATTTCATATTTTATACTTAATTCACCCTTATTTTGCTGATATGTTTTTATTTGCAGTAATAATATTTTTGTTTAGGAATCCATGGATTTTATGAAATATTGTTACAAATATCTGAGAATATTTGTTCTCGATCGTATTTAGGTGGACTATGAGATATTGCCTTCCACTGGAGAGAGGAGAAAGCTACTCAGATCCCGGCAAGAAGATTGGTCATTTAATCTTTCCACAATTTTAAAATGGTCGCCTTATTCAACAGAAGAAGATTTGCTAAAACAAGTAAGCTTGTTATATTCTATGTATGGTGAAATAAAAGTGTTTTCCTTTGAATCTGTCTATGTTAAATCTACCACCGTGCGAGATTGAAACTTATGTTTTATAGTGAAAGATGTGGCCTCTCGTGTGTGATGTTCCAATATAGGGCTCTATTTGGCAAATATACGAGCAAGCTGACTGATTGTGGTCTTTGTTCCTCACAAAAGGGATTGACCTTTTGATGTTGGCATTTCTTCATTAATTCAATTGCAGTTCCTGTTGCTGTTATTCAATGTTTTGTCTTCTTGTGTTCTATTCATGGTGCATCATTAGTTAAAAACTTCTGTGCAATGATGGTTGAAACAGTTTGTGACTTAAACTCGTAGGATGCAAATAAGATGAACCATGTTGAGCGATTAGTATGCCCTAGCCTTTTATACCTTATGATATTGGTTTCTACCTTGATTAGATAGGGGAGATGTATTTCCCAGAAAATTATGGTCACTCTAGATTTGTATGGTTTTCAAATGTAAGGAAGTGAGGGGAAATCATAAACAGGTGTTTCAATTACCATATAATAAGTGTCTTACCTTGTTGATGGGTAGCTTATTTCCCTCATTTGAGAAGCATCGTTAGTATTTTTTTTTATTTGTTCTTGAGTATTACATAAGAGGCTAGGCTGCTAGTGCATTTCGGCTTCTTCTTTCTCCTTCCTAGGTAAAAAGCTTCCACATAATCCTCTAAGCCTTCATTTTCATTAGTGTAATGGATAATTTATGCCAAATTTGAAGTGTAATACATTCAATATTTTGGAGAAAGTGGTTTTTTCTTTTTGTTTAGACAACCATTTCATTGAATTGGATAGCATTTTACTGTTTAAATTTCCTCATGAGGGACAAATATGATGCCCTTTTAATAATTGGAAGAAGGTTTCTTGAAGCAAATGTTTTCAACAGTTGAGCATTATTTTTTATTTGCTCTAATGTTTGTAGTTGTCTTTTAATTGCTTTGTTACCTCTTCGAGAGGGTTAGGAGATTGTGCTAATTTCTCAAGTGGAGTGCCGTTCTTGGAGGTGATTTTGGCAATTAAAAGGTTTTACTCATTTTCTACCCATTTTTCTGGTGATAGTGGTGGGTTTCTCTCTATTAAAACAGAGCAAAAATATGCTTTCTATTTTGTTCAGTGGAAATGCTGCTCTGTCCTACACCATTTACTTTCCGTTTGTTTCTGATTTTTTATCAAACAACGAAGACTGCAAACTGGAAACTGATGATTTGTTTCCTTGAATTGAGTGTTCACTCGTGTTGCAGACAAGTTACAGGTTTGAAAAGAGAACAATATTTTTTGAGCTTAATGAAATAATATCCATAGGATCAAATGACAAGAATTTATACATTTGATGGAGGAACAAACCTCAGAAAGTAAGAAAATAAAAGATTAAATGAATTGATTGAAATAAAAATTCAAAGCTTACAAGCCATGCGTCAATGTCTCCCTAGAATTCCACAAATTTCTCTCTAGTTAAACGAGAAAGCAGAATCTCAAGACTCAAAAACTTTAATTACATCTGCCTGATAGCCTCTATTTTTATAGACCACACTGTCTCTTAGTCTCCAAATAAAATAGTAGTAAATTAGCAACTGTCTAATACCTCCTTTTTATTCTTAATCCACACTCCTCTAATCAAATCCTATTTTTTAAGACTCCACGTGACTTCCTGTCTATCCCTCTCTCCCACGCACTTCATCCCTTTAATAAATCCCAAGAAAATAAGAAATCCCATGAAAATAGGAAACCCATCAATAAGGACTCTCTACCTAAAAGCGACATACTTCTTTCCTCTTTTTTCCTAAATTTATGGACCACATGTAAATCCCTCCCAAGCCCACTGTAATGAGAATATATGTATTTTCCCTAGTTAAGAAAAAATGAGGCCAATTAACTAGCTAAATCTAAAAAATTCTCATGCTAATTCTCAAAATTGAGGAATTGGCCACTTTACCCCCCATAACAATAAATCAGAACCCACTTTAATCCCCCTATGATTCATTCCTGAATTGACTGATACTAATAAATGAAAATGCATCCATACCCTGGAAATTAAATAAATAAAAAACTGTTAGAATTATGAATCAGCAGCTCATGCATCAACATTGTCCAATGTGCATTGCTTAAACATAACGGGTATGCTTCCCAAAACTAGTTTTCTGAGGGTCTTGATAGTTTCTTTAAGATAGGCCCCTGGTCTTTGGCCAAAGCTTTAATGAAAAAGATGACTAGCTGATGTCAAGAAAGAATGTGAGCAAAATAGATGTGCTGGCTATGAATTATTGCTCACAAAAGTGATAAAACTTAATCCTTAAACAATAAAAATTGATAGACTTTGATATGCTTTATTCTTATGTGAATACTCTGAAGCACTCTGTAAGGCTCTGACAGTTACAATAAATTGAACTAGTTGCTGATGCTGTGGTGTGTGGGTGTGTCATGAGTATATATTTTTTAGATAGTATTTCATATAGAGGATAATCTGAGGGTAAGCAGTAGAAGTTTCTAATGGTGTAGGGAAGTAAGTTGGGATGTTACATCAAAATCCTATGCTGAGGATAGTTTGGTTCTTGAAATTTCTTCCTAAAGAAAAATGTCTAATTTCTCATTTTTGAGATCTTTCAAATAAATTATCATCTCATGACACCTCATCCATAATGGTTGCATCCACATGCCGTAAGATCAGCTGAGGATAATTTGGTTCTTGAAATTATTTCGAAAAGAAAAGTCTCTAATTTCCCAATTTTGAGATCTTTCAAATAAATGATCATCTCACGACACCTCATCCATAATGGTTGCATCCACATGCCGTAAGATCTGGTCCCTAATGGGACAGATAAGAGGGCAGAGTCCCATCAAATTAGTGGGTATCATAGTTTGTGTAATCTTCCACCAATGGCGTCGCCCCAGCTCCTGAAACGCTGTTCCAGATTGGGAGCATCAGTACATTGCTACACGTTTCCATTCTCTTGGGAGCATTTTCTTCATCTTTTTGGTAACTACTTCCTGTAAGGGTATAAAGGAAGAGCCCCTTCCCTCCTTCGGCAGGTTCCATTGTGGACCTATAGAAATGGAAGGTATCACAAGGTATATTAAGGTTTCAAAGGAGCAGAACGTTGTCATTCGAACTCTGACTATTTTTTTGCATGTATATTTTTCTAAAAGATATTTATTTAGTTATTATATGTTGTATTAGTGTTCTCATGGCATTCCCCATGTATGGAGCTTCTAGTGAGGAATGGTCCTCGCTTTTGACCCCGCTCCCAAAAAAAACCTTACCCCAAAAAGGTAGTAGATGTGGGGGAAGGGTCATAGAATGAAAAATCTTCCTTGTCTCTAACTTAGAGCAGTGCAGGAGTAAGAAAGAGTGACTTAGTGACAACTGAACATTCAGATGGCTGGGAATTTTGGGCGACGTTCGAATATTTGAGTTTGCGTATGCTGTTTGTTTGATACAAATAAGGCTTCTGTTATGTGCTTTTTCTTTACATAAATTTAATTAAAGTTTCACCTTTTATGGGGATTTTCTTCCTTCATTGGTTTACAGAAACCAACTATTTGTATGGACCAGAATTATGTATTTTCGCAAATTTGGGTTTTTGTTTAGTGTTTACTGCCTCCTAGAATGAGGTTTCTTAAACATTGCTATTCCTCGGGTTATTGTTTTTTTTATTTGTTAATGTGATTGCTGTGTTTATTATTGGCTTCTTGTTTTAGTGTATGCTCCCAATAAAATCATTGCATATTTTGTGCTGTGACAGAGGAGGAAGCATGGGCAAAAAAATTGTCAAGAAGGACCCTAATGCTACCAACTCATGGCACAAAGTAAATTTTTAATTGACTTTATTGTAACCTCACAATAAAATCATTGCATGTGCCCTTTGCAAATTGGGACTTGTTTTATGTCATCTTTAGATACCAGATTTTTTCATTCCTGTTTTTGAGCCAAATTTGAACTATTCACTATTTTTTACCTCACCTAATTTTTTTGCTATCTGTACTTTTGCATCTGATTTTTTGGATAAAACCGGTTTAGTATCGATTTTTTATTTTTGCAAGTATATGGTTATTCCTTTATTTGCTAACATGGTTTTGCAAGGTCTGAGAATGTATAACCTGGATGGGGCCATTTGTGAAGGGCCGAGCACAGGTCTAGAGGTTTCTCACACAGCAAAGGTGGTAACGATGGAGGAGTTGGTGCTGTGCTGTATGCTTTGATAGGTAGTCTATGGTTGCCAGAGCCAGAAAATGTAGGAAGCTTGTGGCCTACAAGATTATTAGTATATATAGGAAAAATTGTTTCCTTTCTTGTTAGCAGTCGTAGTTTATGCATTCTTTCTTGTTTATGTGCATTCTATATTCCCTTGTTTATGAATAGTTGGTGCAAAACCGAGTACTAGTATATGGCATGGGCTTTATGAATTGACCAGTATCTATCGAGTTTAGTAATTGTTTTTCTCAGACTGCTGAGGATTCTTTGGTTTGCAGTTTTCTACAGTTGACACGACATACGGTCTAAGTCCCTTATGGAGGCAATGTAGCATAGGTGAATCTTTCACCTTGAGCCTAAGACTCGATTGTGTGATTCATGCTACTCACACAAATGAGCAGACATAACTTTGGGCTTGTGAGGCTTTAAAGAGCTTCTTGCCTACTGGGGAAACACGCTGTCCCAGCGGCGAATGCAATGTGCTTTCTTTTTTTCTTCCTAATGTATTCATTTGTATTGAATGCATTTGAGATCTTTGATGAGAAATACCTTATTTAATGTGTAATATTGTCACTTAACATTTTATTTCTTTCAATTCCATGCTAACCTATTTTTGTCGATCCACTTTTTAAGTTCTTTTTGAAATTTTTGATTCATAATCAATTGTTTGAATTGCGTGAGCAGTTGGATGATGTAGGTCCTCATGGCACAAAAATCGTTGTTTACAACCTATGGCTGAATGATGTGGGGGAATTGGAGCTTGATTTTGATTCTGATAAGGAGGTTTGTGTGCTTTTGAAATATTGCGGCACTCATCTCATTTTCACATGGGCGTTAGTGCATCTACGTGCATTTATTTTTGACAGTGGCCGACATTTATATGGTGATGGAACGTAATACAAAATTTATTTACTGGAATTTCTTTTAATTTGTTGGTTTCTGATCGGTCGTATCTGTCCGTCAGTTCTTGGGAGGGGGCTTTAATTTGAGCTGCGGATCCTACTCTGGAAATAGAAATACCCGCACATTTCTTGAACTTTTTTTTTTGGTGGGTAATGAGTTTGTTTTATTTTAATTTTCCAGGATATTCGGATACATGGAGCTTCCAAAGTTGCAGAGTCTGGTACCTTACCTGACAAGCAAACTGAACATGTTGCGAACCGCTTCCGTTATTCTCTTCGGGTAATCCTTTCTCTCTTACGCTCTTTCCCTATGTGTCTGTGGGTGGGTGGGTTTTGGGGGGGGGGGGGGGGTGAGAATTAGCTGTCCCCTAAGACTCCCAAATCCACTTGGTCCTTGCCCGAAACACACAGGAACTTTTGTGACCCTGAAAGTCACAAGTTATTTTAGTCCTCTTTTAGAGCAATTAGAAATGAAAATTTGTTTGAAGCTCAAATTACACTCCAATCAAGTCACCCTTCAAAACTGAGTTTGGACTGTCGATTTGATGAATGATTAGATCTAGTACTGTAAGAGCTGGAAATCATTTATTTTTAGAATTGTTCACGAAGTGAATCGGAGGTGCTTTGTCAATTTTCAGATCAAAATAGTTCCCTTAACTAGGTGTTGGGACCCCTGAACAAAGTGTATAATGTGGTTAATAGGACCACATGTACGATATGTTTGTGTGCTTGTGTAATAATTTTCATGCGTGCATTTCAAATTATTAAATGGTATCCAGGCGGTTTACTAATTAGTTCCATTTATGTTCCATTGAACTGTTTGTCTAGGTTTATTCATCTATACTCTATCAGCATCTGCCGAACAGCTTCACAATTTTATTGCGAGGTCGAGCTGTAGAACAACATAGAATTGTTGATGATCTCAAATTTCCACAATATATATTGTACAAACCACAAAGTGGCGGCAACAGGGAGGTCTGTATGATTTTTTTGAGTAATTATTCTGATACATGACCGGTGTTCTGCTCTTTTATGTACAAACTTATTTGCGTCTAGGTTTTCTTGTGACTTTTTCAGTGGTGAGTTGGTGACCTAAGCACCCACTGTCATAAAAAAATGTTTTTACTTGGATTTTTTCTTGGTATTCTATAATTTGTCATAATGTCATGGGGGATGGGGTATTGATGTGATCCTTTAGCTTTTCCAACTTGCTCAGTCTGTATCAAATACTCATTTCCTTTCCCGTGATGCTTTTTATATTCCACTATTTACTTCGTTGACTTATTCACTCCTTTAATTTTTGATGTTTTACCCTATAAAATTTCATTGTTGGTTTGGAGAGGAACTGTTAAAGTTTTTGTGGTATTTCTCTTGGCAAGTGCACTTGATGATCAGTTGTAATGATAATAATGTAGAGGTTATGTATGGATTAGCAATGAGATAGCATTGCTGCATTGCCAATCTAGGCTCTTCCCTCTTAAAATGATTAGCCTCCTCTTTTTTTTTTTTTCCGGCCTTCAAAGCTAGCATATTTTTTTAAGATGTAACAAGGTCGCAAATGGGGGTCAAAATCATAACTAATTGATTTCTTTTGCACAGGTTTCTGTCATTACCACAATAGGTTTCATGAGGGATGCTCCAAAAGTCAACATTCATGGTTTCAATGTTTACCACAAGAACCGTCTTATATTGGTAGACCATGTTTTGCTCTTTCCCCTCTTGAGCTGCTGATGTCATTGATGTTTTATGCTTTACTACCTTGCACGTGAGGGCATATAGATATCAAGTCCAAGTGACAACATAAAATTTCTTTTCATTTCAATACAACATAACTCAATTACATCAAATTTTACATCATCATATACAATTCCAGCCACTAAACGGGGTCTGAAATATACTTTTAAAACAAAATATGACTGTAATCAGTCCCTTGCCTTAGTCCATGACTTGATTAAGCACTTGATCATACACATGATCTCCAAAATACAACAATATACAAATACATTATCAAATTATAAATAACCTTAGAATTACATCATGCATTTTAAATTCAAACTCCTTTCTCCACCAAATACACATATTGCATGTGTACCAGTGTTTTAAAATGCGGGATGCGGCCAAAAGCGGTGGGGAAGCCGATGTGGCGATGCGGGTGCATCGCGACGATGCGGGTGCATCGCGACGATGCGGTCAATAAATGTAATTTTTTTTTTAAAATCTAAAAACTTAGGTTAATGTATTGAAAAAAATATGGAGGTGATATATGTGATAGTAGGTATTTTAGTTTAATGATTAACTTCAAAATTATTAGTTGTTGGAGATTCTGTATCCAGTTATCCACTATCTAGAAACTAGAAACTTGAAACTAGTTTCATAAAACATTCAACAATTAACAACCATAAGCACGGATTTGCACCATAAGCACAACCATAAGCACAAAAACACAACCATCAACAACGATAAGCACAAAATAGTGATATTACAAACCAAAAGTCAAGCTCAAAAAGAGTTAATAACTTAATACAGTCATCCATTTTGAGAGTCAATTTTGAAGTTTGAAGTCAATTTTTCAAATATCAATCAGAGAAGTCATCTTGAGAGTCGTTGTGTGCATCATCAATATCATCCTCGATGGCCTCCATGTATTCTTCTTCCTCGGTCTCCTCTGAATCAGCTTCCTCCTTCTCGACATCTAAAGCTAATGTGCGAGTGCGACTAGACCCAGCAGCTCCTCTACTCTTTTGTGCTCTAGTGTTAGGTTGATCTTCTTCATTAGCCCCTGTTGCTAGCTCAGCATCAAGCGATGTAAGATCCTTACAGTCAAACACATTCTCTTGTTTTGGATCCATGGTCCACTAACTTGTGGAATCACCATCAGCTTCATACAATTGAATAGGGTTGAGCTTCATGCGATTTTCATACCTCTCCTTAAGCCGCTCATTATACCGCACATAAACCAAATCATTCAACTTTTTCTGCTCCAACCTATTTTTTTTTTTGAATGGAGTTGTGGTAGAAAATTGAAATTAGATAAATTAGATTTTAGAAATTAAGATTAGAAAAATGAAATTCAAAAAATAAGGATTAAGGAATAAGGAGTTAAGGACTTACATGCTCAGATGCACTCCAATTGCGTTCACAACCAAATGAGCTACATGTGAGATTCAACACTCGAATAACGAGACGTTGTAGATTTGGTTTCTCGCTTCCATATAATGCCCACCATGCAGCTCTATAATATTTTATAATTTAGATTATAGATAAAAATTAAGGTTAAACATATAAACAATGGAACTATACATAAAGTCAGAGACAAGTAAGGTTACTTTTAGCCTTTACCTGAATCTGCAGTGTTCTTATTTCGAGTAGCAATATCTCTCTCAAAGTTTCTCAAGGCTAACTTGAACTTAATCAATTCATGGCTCTGGATCTCATCTTGGATATCTCTGTCAGGCACCAACCTCTCAAGCACATCTAAGAACCCACCATTTATTACATGATCTAACTCAATAGATGGGTGCTTGTAGTGAAGAGATAGATTTAGAAAGTAACCGGCTAAATGGAGGTGCCCGTGAAGCTGGGTATCCCATCTTTTATCAATAATTTCAAGTATAGCCTTGCGCATAGTTTCATCATCCTTTAAAACATCCTTTATTTCAACTCTTGCCCTAGTCATTGCCTCATGTATGTAGCCCATGGCGGGCTTCGCATCACCATCAATCAGTCGAAGCACTCTCACTAAATGTCGAGCCACCTCCAATGCAATAATTATTTGACTCGAAAAAGATGTATTCAGAATAATTTTTTTAGCCTTTTTCCCATCCTTATACTTTGACCATTTGCTTTGATTCCATTGCTTTGAAGCAAACATGGTCCTCAAGGCACTTTTTTGCTTGGTTAGGCTTCGAAGAGTGAAAAATGACATGGCAAATCTAGTGATACTCGGTCTCACTAATTCTCTCTTCTTTGTAAAAGACCTCATCATGCTTAGGACTATGGTGTGATTGTAAATAAATTCAACAATAAACATAACTCTTGAAATCACCCTACTAAATAAGGATGTTGTACCCATTTCCTTAAGCATAAGATTAATACAGTGAGCTGCACAAGGAGTCCAAACCATTTGTGTCCTTTTCAATGTCAATAAATACCCTGCTGCATCCTAATTGGTACCATTGTCAGTGACAATTTGTACCACATTTTTCTCTCCAACAAACTCGAGAATCTCATCCATAAAGCCACATAAGTATGTAGCATCATGTGACTTGTCTAATGCATCAACATACTTGACAAAAAAAGTACATGTTGGGCAGTTAACCAAAAAATTAATTAATGCCCTTGACCTCCCATCGGACCAACCATCACACATAATAGCGGTCCCATATGTCTCCCACCATTCTCTATGAGAAATCAAAATTTTATTCACATCAAATATAGCATCCTTCAACAAGGGCTCCCTAACCTCATGTAGTGAAGGAGGAACAAGTCCTGGGCCATATTGCCCAATTGCCTAGACCATATATGAAAACTATCCAGAGTTATAGTATTAAAACGAATGCTGGCCATATAAATCCACTTTGCAATCCACTTACATACCGACTTCCTCTGTTCTTTCTTGTATCTATTTTCAATTGTTTTTGTTTTTTTCTCTTTCCTGAACCTCAATTTCGGGGCTAGGGGTGAAAAAAGCATCCATTGGCCCCTTAGAGAGAGGTGTTCTTCTCTCAACACTACCACCAATATTTATAACCCTCTCTCTTGAGGTTGGAGTATGAGTACCCGTTTGCCTCATAGCAACTTCAGACATATCATCATCACCATCAACAACAACAACATCATCATCATCATCAAATAAATGCATATCAAGTAATTCTTTTTTTATTCATTTTTTTCTTCTCTTTTTCTTTTTTTAATCTTTTTATACATTCTCAAAAATTCCGGCTAAATGCTCTTTTGTCGAAAAATACCACTCATATAAGTATTTCTACAGAGCAAGCATATCATACAATTTCTATCATTCGAATTTTTTAGTTTAGCATATTTCCATGCCGGATCCTTATTACTAGAACCTTGGGAAGAAGACATTGCCCCAAAAATAAGTATAACAGTATTATTGTCAAGAAGGAATAAAAATTTGACTCTGTCAAGCAGTGCTCGATTTCTTTACAGCCTCTAAAACCTCTAATTTTTTATCACAAATTCACCGTAATATTCCCAAATCAATAATCAAAGGCATCAAATGAACATCCAAGTATCAAACAACCGCCAAATCAAAGATTTGAATGAGAAAAAAAATTTCACAAAAGTATTTATTTCCCTCGATTTGATGCAAAAAAAACCATAAAAGTGGCTGGAAATCTTCGTTTAAGGGGTTTAATACCCCCCCAAACTGTTTTCCTATGCTTTGGATGGTCAAAAAGACCATTTTGCCCTTCCCCGAGGGGCAAAATCTAAAGTATTTTTGGCGGAAGGAGATATGCCATGATGCGGGGAGATGCGGGATGCCGCTACGATGCGGCGCATATGCGGCCGCATAGGTAAAAAACGCATATGCACGAGATTGCGATGCGAAGGCGACCACATACTACATGATGCGGCGATGCGGCCGCATTTTAAAACCATGGTGTGTACATAGAATTTGATCATGGGAAGCCCATCGTAGAGCTCATTTTGTCCAGTTTATGGCCTTGGGTCTTGGCTATGTACCATGAGAGGACTTCCGATACCATAATCTCATAGGCCAATAGCAAACTCAAATAGGGAAACCTTTACGCATCATATCATCTACACTAATAGCAACATCAAATAGAGAAGCTTTTAAGCATCATATCATCTGACACATTTTAACATATGAGAATATAAAACTAGGAGGGACGTGCCCCTTAGAGAGAGATAAAGGAACTCTTCAATTGTGTACAAAATGAGATATTAAAGGGATATTTATAGTGTTGAGTGTGGAGATGCTTTGGATGTGCTTTAATCTTGGCCATTGAAGTTCAACATCTATGGCTACAAAGATAGGCTTGATCGTAGCCTAAGCTTGATCGTAGCTTACCATCCATCATCATGCCATCTTGATGTGTGGTATGGATTTAAATACGTTTATCCTTATTTTTTAATAACCATAATTCACTCCAATTTCCCTTGTATGAAAATACCCTTACTCTTTTCATACAATTGAACTTAAAACCAAGTTGGAGAGCATACACCCTTAAGGTAATATGTCTAAAATTACAGCAAAAATCAATTTTGAAACTTCCCTCCATTTATAATAGCATATGTGGCTAATCAAATTATTCCACGTAAGCTAGTTGGTTAAGTGCATAATTAACACATACCCTTAGGGTTTCCATTTTAATGTCGAACCCTATGCCCCTTCTAGAAGGGCTCACACATGTACACAAACTACTTGCTTTATGCATCTATCATGTGCCAAAATTAATTTTCTCAATTTCTAAAATAACATAAAACTCAATATTACAAAATTCCCCCCATCATAACAAATTACACTAAACAAAGAGGCCACCATGGCCAATGACGTCATCCTCATGTTGTCGCTATGTGGGGCTGATGTGAAGGCCTCCATGGCCCCACGTGGACACACATTGGCCATTTGGGTGTCCTGTGTGGTTTGGAGGGGTTTGTTAATCATCTTTTGCAAAAACCATTTTCAAAAAGCACCTTTTCTTATC